GTCTGTGAGAATAACTTATAATGCAACAGTTTTACAATAGAAAATTGATAAGTAAAATTGTTTTCTTCAACAAAGGACATTTACCACTTACTTAAGCTTAAACTGCCTTCATAACATTCAGTGTATGACCATGTTAAGAAGACTAAAGTCTAGTATCTAAAGATGTAGTAGTATTTCATAGTTCCTGGAATGCAAAGGGGACATCCAAAGTACTGTATCAATGGCTGTTTAAACCAGAACAGTGGCAAAAACAGTATTTCCTTACAGATAATTTTTGGTGTTTTTATAGATGAAATAAGTCGTGTTCTGAGAGAAAACCTAGTTTCTCTTCCACTTAAAAAAAAAAATTGACCTATTTTCACAACTCAGAAGATCTCTCTATTTCTGAACAAAATGAGAAGCCCTACTTATCCCGCTGTCTGTTAACACAATTATTCATGTGGCTTCCAAAACAAAATTTCATACTGATGTGGCACCCCATAAAATATCTTGCTTCACCAGAAAAGATATACCTTGTTCATTTCAGCAAACTATTCAATGGGCATTAGCATAGTTTTCTTATTAGAAATGAAAAAATCATTATACTTGCCTTTAAGATATTGCTTGTGGGAATAAATTTCAGGATTATCCAACAGCTCACAGGAACTTTAAGACAACTAGGGCATGAAGTACCCTTCCCAATGCCACACAAAAGACAAAATTTGCTCTAAAGGTCTTCCTCTCTTGTTCTCTGTTTGTAAAGACCTGGGTGCACTATATGCATATATTAAGTATACAGTATTTGCTTCAGTGTAGACAGAAAAAAAGAATAGAAGTGAATTGAAATAATATATTTGTTTTGATAAGAGAAAAAATGTATGTATTAGATAAAGAATGAGATACTGCGTAGAAAAGTCATATAATTACTTTTGAAGGAAATTCTGTGATAGCAAGATGCTTCAAAATTAGGGATCAGCTGAAGACTAGGGGTCAGAGAATCTTTTATTAAGCTCTCCTTCCAGTCTGGAAAGAAAATAAGATTATGCATTTAATCTTGAAGCCATCTTTGAACTATGAACTGATAAAAACAACCTGGAAGCATAGAAATCACACAATGGGATGCAAAAGGTTAATAACAGTAAAGTAAATTTTAAGCAAGAAAATGCAAACTTATTCAAAAGCAGACCAAGAAAAAAAGAAAAAAATGTTATGTTGTAGTTAGTACCTTTCATACTATTGTTAATGATGAAAAAGATATCAATTGTCCATACCTGTAATTCATCAGAACTATTCTTGTTCTTTGAAGTCTCACCTCCAAATCTAACCTTTTCCCCACAGTACTTAACAAAAACAAAATAGAGTTTATGTAAGTTTCTGCATACCAGGGGCCTGATCCTGTACAAATGTCAAGTGCTCTGTATTTCAATTGATTTCCTGGCATGTAGGAAGTACCTGTTACACGTTCCTGCTCCCTGTAAAAGAATGACAGCCTTATAACTGAGTTCATCATAAAGCAGATCAAGTCTGCAGCATTCACTGGAAAGCGTGTGGCATTCCTGCAAGGTAAGGCTGTGTCACCCTGAGAGTTAAGGAGTACAAAAATTTCCCACAGTATCCCACATAGTGAGAAAAATCATAATTCTAGACCCCTAGTTGAAGCAGACATTTCCTTTCCTCCAGAAAAACTGAAAGATTCTGCCCCAGTTATGTGCGTACCTGTCTTACCAGAGATAAGTTCTATACAGAGTCACAGATCTGATAATTATATGGCCAGAATACATCATGGGGATTATGTATCTGATTTTCTTCTGTAATACCGGTCATGTAGTAAAGCCTGCTTCCACTCTGGTTGCTATTTATTGTAGAATACACTTTCTGGACTTTAACCCCACTTAACATTAATGATACAACCCTAAATTAAAAATAGAAGAATTAAACTTGCAGAGTTCGCTCTCTTGTTAGCCTAAATGTGCTACCATATCCTTGACTTTCCTATTTTTTTCCTACTTTTCTCTCAGCTCATGTTCATGTCAGACCTGGGAACGTCCTTGGGCTAACAGTGACGAATTTACAGTATTCAAGATTAAAACATCATTTCCAGGCGTGTGATCATTCTTTGAGGTTTTTTTGTTTTTGTTTTTGTTTTTATTTTTGCTTTTGTTTTTTTGAATCCTTTCCAATCTCAGCTATTAACGACATTTAAAAATGGAGTTGAGAGCTGCTTGTACTCTGCACTGCACAAACACGTTTTATAATTACTACTCTGAAAAAGTTAAAATTAAGGAATAAGAAAGGATAATGAAGAAACTGCATAAAAAAGAAGGGAATTAAAAATATGCCAATCATCACTCAGAACCTATTAAAGCTGTAACTGTTTTGTCTGCATAAAATGACAATCTAAAAGCAAGTATTATTACAGGACATATTTCACCTGCTTGGCAATTATGTTGTTTGAAGGGGCAGTTAATGATAAAGCTCCAACTAGACAGATCTACAGTGATTCAATTTGCACTTACAGTTGGAAATGACTCCTTGAAAATACATAGGCAACGTGCAGCAGTTCCTGCAGGATACAAATCCCTTTCCAACCTTTAATCAGAAACCAAAGGAAAGAGTGAATTATATCACTTTGTTCCCACTGAATGCACAACATGAATTTTACAATTAAGTAGATAATAATCAGATATTAAAGAAAAAGGGGGAAGAAAAAAAAAAATACCAAGATAGGCTGTATCCAGTGACCGCAGCTGGAATAATTTTCTTTCAAATCTAAAGCATATTTTATTATATATGGTGTTTGCTTCTGGGGCTTTCCTCAGCATGGAAAGTGGAAATACATTCATCTGTTTCTGTTTTTGGTTGTGTTTTTTTTTTTTTTCTTCTTTTTTTTTCCTGCCTTCCAGTCGGTTTCACTTTCAGATTCTCATGTTTCACACTCCAGTCTTCAGGTTTCAAGCACTGCAAGGGAATACTTATTTCCAATAAACAAACAAAAATCTTGTGTCCACCCAGCATGCATGCACTGTTCCTACTAATCTGTGACTCAAGAACAAAACTTGATACGATACCATCCATCCTCTGAAGCATTTTCAAGAGGGGTTTTTTTTTTTTTTTGGATTTTCCAAAGAAAACAAATAAAATAAGTGGAATTAATGACGAAATAAGGGTATATCTACAATAATAATAATAATAATGAAAGAGTCACAGTGTTTTACAGCGCTCTTAGGGTGACATTGATAAAACGCAGTTACGTGTTACTGACTTCATGAAAACTGATCAGGAATCGGGTAATCGGTAGCCGTAACACCGAACCAATCACCTGAAACGACGAGCTGGGGTCTGTTCGTCCCGTCCCGCGGATCTGACACACTGCTGCACCGCACCGAGAACACGCCGGCGGGGTTCACTTCGCTGACGTATACCTTTAAGTAGCTCGGCAAAAGGAGAAAAGTTTGTGTGTGGGTTTTTGTTTGTTTGTTTGGGTGTTTTTTTTTTTTTTTTCCCTGAAGGGCGAGCGGTATTTAACATGCGGCACTCGGTAATCTCTCCATGTAAAAACATCTGTTGTCTCCAAACGCGCCCGGCAGCACACGTGGACGCGGGGACAAGGCGAAGCGGCGGCGTCGCGTATACCGCAGCCAGCGGCGCCGGTTGGGCATCGCCCCGGCCCACTGGGGCTCCCCGCCATCGCCCCGGCTTCCTGCAGTGCGGTCTCATTTCAGAGGACCGGCGTTTTCCGTTTGCGAACGGTTAGTGACCTTAAAAGCCGTGGCACCGAGGTTTTTTTTGGGGGGGGGAGGGGGTTGGGGGATAAGGGGAGGGTGATTTTTTTTTTTTTTTTTTTTTTTACCCCGACGTGGCTGCAGATCTGCGACACGTCCACGTGTGGGGCTGAAATGCTTCCGTGGACTGACTTAGCGATTTATATTTCTTTTAATTGGGCCCTCCCCCAACCAAAACGGTGGGGAGGCAGGACTCTCTGGCGGGTCGTGACGGCCTCCCTGTAGTGAGGCGCATGGTTCCCAAGGCTCCCCAGGTCCTCTCCGTACCCCGGACATCACTCCACTTCAGAAAGTCGGTGCCGAACAGTTAGAATACTCGTCATCCTGCCCCTCGAAACCTGCATAAATCACAAACGCTGCACTGTCGGGCTACAAAGTCAGACGGGAGCACTTAGGAATTTAAGTTTGGAGAAGGAAAACTTAGGCTGACACAACACGCTCCCTGTTTACAGGAGTAGTTAGGAAGGGGAAATGAATGGTGGAAGTTAAACAGCCTTTCATTGCGGTGCTCAACGCGCCGCAGCACATCGCTGCTGGCCACTCCCGACGTACAGGCGGACCCCTCACCGTCGTACAACGCAACCTCGGGCAGGCGAATCCCTGCCCAAGCGCGCGGTGAGTACTCGTCTTGAAGAATAAAGGGGCCGCACACGATGCCCGCAGCCGCCGTGTTCCTCCTGTGCCTGAAAGCTCCCCTCACTTCATGGACGGGGCGAGGAGAGGGAGACGCGCAAATTATTTCGTGGGGAAAATGCCGGCAGCAGCGCGCGGAGGGCCCGGCTGCCTACCGTTAGGTGAAGGGTCGCGGGATGGGACCCCCGCTTGTTTTATGGGAGCAAAAGAGAACGCTGTCTACGGGGCCATCCCTACCGGTGTTGCAGAGGAGCCTCGGTGACTGCACCCCGAAGAAATGCAACCCAGGGATGCCATCCCTCCCTCCCTCTCTTCCTCCTGGTCCACTGCGGAGGAGCGAGAGCTGGAAAGGGCCCCCCTGACCACTTGCAGCTCCAGGGCCGCCGGCACGGCCAGGTAAAGAGCTGCACCTCGCCCCCAGCCCACTCGGGCTGCTTTCCATATCGGGCAGCACGCGTCCTTAAGATCCAATCTGCCCGGTAACAATGAGCGCGCAGCAGCGAGAGCCCCAGAGCCATTGGCTATGCAAATAGAGGGAGGGGAAGCGGCGCCCTAAACTCCACACTCGCACTTTTAAGGCGGTATTTCCCTACCAGCAGCCAACGCAGGGGAGTGGGGGCGGTTGCCGGCAGCGTGCTATCCGCACGCACCTCGGGGCCGCCTCCGCGCCCCAGGAGCTCGGCTCCGGCGGTGGGCGGCTCCTTCTCCCTCGGGAGCCTCAGCCTCGCAGCAGGCTGCAGCACAGGCTTCACAAAGTTGACACATTTTCCAGGCGGCTGCTTTGCGCCGGCCGAGAGGTAGGCGAGGCAGCGAGGTGCGGGCTGGGGCAGGTGGTTCGTGCAGAAAGCGGACATGAAGCGTGAGCGGTCGGCCACGTGCCGCGGACGGTGGGCTGCACTCGGCGGCAGCGGCGAGCATGGCTGGCGTGAGGAGGGGTGAAATCGCACGGTGCGGGACTGTCCCTGCCCCCATCCGGCCCTCCCTTCTCCACCCGCGACATTTCCTAAAAGTTGTATCGCTGTGACTGTGCGCTGCTAAAGCAGCTCGCCTGCTAGAAATGGAGCGGAGAAAGTAACAGTGTGATTATCGCTACATTTCGCCCTGAAAACGCTGCCGAACGCTCACCCTTCAAGGAGCTCTTCTTCCGCGTTTGCTGTTAGGCTGCAGTTAACAGGTTCTGCCCCCATGGCTGCGTAGTCAGGGTGTATAAGGGGGAGGAGTGGGTAAGGCGCCTGGGGAGCCGGGACGCGCATCTGGCGCTGACCCAAACCAGGGCATTTCGCGTACAAACCATGTAGTGTCTGTGGGTGCGGGGGGAGCCCATGGCTTCTCAGAAAAGGGGAGTACAGATATTCAGGCAGGCTCCTGGAGAAGGAAAGTGTGGAACAAGTTCGGTTCGGCCGCTGTAAAAAAAAAAAAAAAAAAAAAAAAAAAAAAAAAGGAGAGAGAAACTGACGTTTGTGAATGTGTCTCCCTGTTCGAGGGCCTCCGGGTTCCTTGTTAGCTTATAGAGTGGAAAAGAAAAAAACACACACAAAAAACCCAACAGCGACCCGCGTTTGATGTTACGCCTGACCAGCTGCAGTGCTCCATAATAACGAGAGCTGCCTGCCCTAGTGGTTTGCGTCACTTCGCTTCAACTTTAGGCTAGAAATCAAGAGAGAAGGACAAACGAACTTTAAGGGAGGCAGGAACGGGCTAGAAACGCCGCCGCCCTCCTCCTTTATCCTTCTTCTTTCCCCACCCCCTTCCTTCTCCCCCCCCTCCTCCAACCTCCCCCCTCTCCCCCCCGTGAAAACTTTTCCATCAGAGTAAGAGGGAGATCGCTTTGGGAACATGGAGTTGCTGTGCTGCGAGGTGGATCCCATGAGAAGAGCTTTGCCGGACCCGAGCTTGCTCTACGACGACCGTGTTTTGCACAACTTACTGACGATAGAGGAGCGGTATCTGCCCCAGTGCTCCTACTTCAAGTGCGTGCAGAAGGACATCCAGCCCTTCATGAGGAGGATGGTGGCCACTTGGATGCTGGAGGTTGGTGCAGGCAGACCCGCGAGCAGCACCTACGGCTGTCCCGTCCTCTCACCCCCCCACACCCATTTACCCCTCCGGTAGCGGTGGATTGTACTTTTTGTGTATGTTTCTGTTTTCTCGCCTTTTAACTCCACCTACAGAGCCTGCCCAGCACCCGTCGGGTTGAGGTGGGGGCAGGGGCTTCGAGCATCCCCCAGTCCTCGAAGTGAAATGGCCCTGCCTGGGGCTGCCGCCGCTCAAAGCGGGGTGCCGAGAGGGGAGGAAGGGATGGGGGGGGAGGTTGGAAAAGTCATTTGCAAGTAAAAAGATGAGCCGTCTCCGGCTGCGAGCGCCTGGGATTGAGGACCTTTTGGGAAAAGGGAGCCAGGGCAGGGCAAGGGACGGAGGGTGAGGAGTGCCCCCCACGTTTTACTCGGCAAGTATTTTACGACCACGTATGCACTGGTTAAGACGTGCCTTTTTTTTCGCCATATTGAGCTGCATGCAACTGCTCGGAGGCGCTCAGCCCGTCTTCCCATTCCTTCCAAAGAAGGGGCACCCCGAAGCACCCTGCCGCCACGCCCCGGGACCGCAACGTGGCCGGGGGCTGCTGGGAAGAGCGCAGGGCGATCGTGGGCCGGAGCCCCGCGGATTTAACTGCCTTGCCCTGGCCCCACCGTCCTGATTTGCCCCTTTTGATCTCTAGGGGGTGGATTTTTACCAGACCTTCCCCCTTAGCTCCCTGGGTTGAGTACCGGACCCCATGCCCTGTTTTCATGTGCGATTTGGCGCGTTTTCTTGCCGGCTCCGATTTTTGGTAAATTTTTGAAATAATTTTTTCTGTCTCCTCTGCGTTCTAGCTGCTCAGCCTCTCCCCACCCCAGCTCGCCCTTGCTGCGTTTCTCCCGGCCTTCCTTCCCCCCCCCCGGGACGACTTACGGGCGTGGGTCTGGAGGATGCCCCCCGGGGGAATTTTTGCAATTGTCGGAAACGATGGGGGACCGCCCCGGGATGCTACCAGCACCAAAACTAGGACCCTTGGAGAGGCTCAGATATTTTTATCGATTTTTTGAAAATATGACGAAATTACTGAAAAAAAAATCTCGGAGGCTGCTAGCTTGCAGCTGGATGAGGCTTTTCTGCTCTCCCACACAGTGTCTTGAATTCATTTCTCATTCAATGGACTAAAGGAATGTGAAAGCCGATTGACAAGCCTTCCCAGCCTCTCCAGAGGTATCCCCCTCCCCCAGAATTTAGCTCCCCGATAAAGAAAATCAGGAGGGGCTGAAGTGCCAAGGTACTAGTATGTTTTGTGGGATTAGTCATTTGTTTATTTTTTTACTTGTCTCTTTCTCCCCCCTACCCGTGCTACTCGCCTGCAGGTCTGTGAAGAACAGAAGTGTGAAGAAGAAGTTTTCCCTCTGGCTATGAATTACTTGGACAGATTCTTAGCTGTGGTGCCCACTCGAAAGTGCCATCTGCAGCTACTGGGGGCAGTGTGCATGTTCCTGGCCTCCAAGCTAAAAGAGACAATCCCCCTCACAGCAGAGAAGCTTTGCATATACACGGACAATTCCATCAAACCCCAAGAGCTGCTGGTAAGCAGCCCCCTTACGCCTCAAGCACATCCGCTCTCTGCATCAGCACTCGCTGACAGCCTTCTCTGCTTTTCTCCTTCTTTCCCCCCCACCCCAGTAAGTCGGCACTCGTGCCACTCTGTTGCCCACCCCTCTTTGAAAATCACGCTTTCCACTGTGTTTTGTTTTTTTTTTTTTTTTTTTTTTTCCCCCACGCGCTCTTCTGCGAATTGTCAAATGTGCTAGAGGCACCCACGTGACTCAGAGGGATCGACCCAAAACTGCGGGCGTGCTATGCCCGATGGGCGGGACTGCAGGGGGGGGTCACCGTCACCGCCTCTGGCTCCTTCGCAGCTGTACGCCACGCGGTATCCAGCTCCCCTTTACTGTGCCGCTGTCTGGCGCGCTGGCGGCCGGAGCTGCCGAGCGCGCACGCCTTGCACCCTGGCGCCGGGCTCTCGCCGCAGGGCCTTTTCCCCGGGGCCGCGGGCGCACACGTGCACCGCGGGGCCACCGGCGCTGCGCGGTTCAGCGTGGCGCTTCCTCGCCACCTGGTGGCAGACACGCGGAACCGGGCATGACTTCATCCCTTGAAGCGCTGCCAGGCCGCCCAGCTCCCCGACTGCTGCCTGCCGGCCTTGCGCGGTGCAGGGAGATGCAGCCATCTGCCCTCCGGGGTCTTGCAGAAGTACCACCTGGTGCTGCGGTTAGAGGCGCTGGTTAGAGGCAGTGCGGTTGCTTTCGTTCTGCAGCAAGAGGGGACTTTGGCTGCAGGATGTCATCGAGGAAGGTTGAGGTGCCAGGTACTGTGTGGCCGATAGGGGTTGGCCTTAAGTGCTGTTACAGTTGAGGAAGTTGTGTCTTTGTTCTTGCAGGTCTGGTTTCCAGTTATCTCCGAGGTGAAAATTGAGCTTGGTTAAACGCTATAAGTTAACAGGCCTGTCTGGTACTGATGTTGGAGACTTCAAGGTGAAAATAGACATAGGAAGGGTGGAAGCAGAATCATAGTTGTTTGTTGGAATAACTAACATTCACAGAGTACTAGACGAGTGTTGGGCCAGTACGTGAGATGTATTGCTCAGATTTTTTGTCATGGAACTATTGGTTACGTGTAGCAAGCTGAATCTCACCAGAATTAATCACTTGGTGAGGCCAGTGAGAATTCCCCCAGGGAGGGGCCGGGAACTCACTCATCTGTAGAATAAGGGGCTGTGGGCTGCACGCCCTGGTACAGCTGTCACAGATGTCCCATAGATGGTGTTGGCTGCCCCAGGATATGTCATGTCCCATGTGAGAAGGAAGTGATAATGTACCTCTTCTTATGTCACATTGATTGAAGCCTGTTTTAAGAACTTCCCTGCATAGCCTTCTATGCTTTTCCCTATCAGAATCTGTCCCGTTAGTTGTGTTTGGACCCATTACTGGTCCTCAGCTTACATAAATTGCCATTTTGTTCAAATGTTTCATGAGCTGAGAAAGAGAAGAAAAACAAAAACATTTATAGGCTCTGTTACCTACATGAACATGAGATTTCCAAGCTATGGTGAGCTTTGCTGTAATCCAGGAGGAATGTCTATAGGAAAGTAACTTGCTGTTACAGCAGGCATCTATTCAGAGAAATGGCTGCAGAAATTGCATTGTAGGGTCCATGTTTATGGTTTCTCAGCAACCCTTATTGACGTCTCCTCGACTGCAAAATTAAAGGACTTTTATTTTTTTGGTTTTTTTTTTTTTTTTTGGCTTGGAAACTCTACAAACTTAGCTGGGGCATCCTGCTATGCTGGGTTCCATCAGGCTAACGCATTATTAAGACTCAAGAATCAGGGCATGGAATTTAGTTAATGACTGATAGTTGTTGCGTGAGACAGGGACAAGGCTGAGGCCTGAGTTTTGTTCACAGTCTGGGGCGCTGAAAGGTATTCAAAACTTTATTTTAAACGTTTACAAATGTAGATATGAGCCCTGCGAAGAGGGTCACATTTGTTGATGAGGTATCTCTTCTGTGTCACATTGTAGTGAATGGCCAGTAATTACATACCCACCCAAGTTTTCCTTTGATTTCACTTGGAGTTTGGGGCATGCAAATAATGTGGGGTTAGATCCTACATTATTTATTGGTTTATAATTTACCCTAAAAATAGGCTACTTCTTGACTGTGTTAATGAGCGTTTTCTTTCTGCAGAACTTTAAGCACCACCAGGTTTGTCTGCAGGAACTTTTTACTACACTTTTGGAAAGAATGCCATCAAATGTATTTCCCCCATTTTGAAAGGGAGTGTGAATTATTTTTGTGTCATTATCCCTAGGACCTTAAATGATAAGAAGGAGTAACTATAGCCATTTAAAAGAAGTTACTAGGAAAGGACCACAGTGACCTTGTCAGAATGTAATTGCAGGCTAAACTTTCTGGGTGGGCATTCAACACAATACAGAAAGAGTAAAATCTTGGTTGGAGCTGCCAAGTCTCATTATTTTCAGTACAGTTTAACTTTTCCAGCGTTGATGGGGGGGATGGGGAGTGGAGAATGAAGTAAACAGCTTCAAAGCAGTAGGAGCACACTGAAAAAAAAAAAAAAAAGTTTGAGCAAAACCAATTTAGTAGTGATATAATTACAATCAGAGAAGTAAAGTGTTTTCTGCAGGTTGCTTACGGCTTGTCTTCTCCACCCTAACCCCCTGCAGGAATGGGAGCTCGTGGTACTGGGGAAGTTGAAGTGGAACCTTGCAGCTGTCACCCCGCATGATTTCATTGAGCACATTCTACGGAAGCTGCCTCTACCTAAAGACAAGTTGGTTTTGATCCGAAAGCATGCACAAACGTTCATTGCCCTTTGTGCCACAGGTAGGCTAAGGTGCTCTGGGTATGCCTGCATGTGATGTGATGGAAAGATGAGTTGCTGGTGGCACAAAGACTTTTCGTCTCTGGATCCTTATTGTGGTGTGGAAAGAGCTGTTCTTGCTCTTGGGACTGTTTGCAAATAAGCCTTTGTGCTGTGTATTGATGATCTTGTAACAGGGAGCTGTAAAGTGCCGGCAGTTCTGTACCTGCTGTCTAACACATGGTGCCAGTAAGGCTGAATTAGTGTGATTTTCTGTTTTGCCCGATTCACTACACTTTTCAAAGGGCCACGGGTTGTTTGTACAAACAGATACGGGATAGCCAAAGTAGTAGAAGCTGTCACGACATAACATTCATAACATCACATAACATTTGGGCTAATGACAAGTGTTATAACTTTAACTGGACCCTGTCCAGTTAATGTGCCTGTTACGTTACTGAAGCACAGGGAATGCAAATGTTAGAAGTAATTTTAAAAAAAAAAAAAAAACAACCCAGAACATTAGGATTCTTTCTCAAGCTTGTTTTCAAGTAAGCAGTGAAAGTACTCCTTTTGTAAGGAACCACTGTTTTCCTTTTTTCTTGTGTTTGGTTGTACATAGTTTCTGAAGTGTTATGTAAGAGCAAAAATCTCTATTCCATGGAAACAATTACTTGATATTTATCTGTAAGATTCTGGGTTTTTTTCTGTTTTTTTTTTTTTTTTTTTTTTTTTTTTTTTTTTTTTTTTTTGTATACAAAAGCTAAATGTACCCTAATTTTCATTGGAAGGATTAACCATATTAGACTTTCACAGGAGCTAAATCTGGAGCGGATGGGCAGCATGCTATGTTTTACAGGGGTGTTTTGGGGTAGTACATGACTTAATGTGTAGGTTCTCTACAGTTTGATATGCTTAGTCTTTTGTGATGGGAACTTGATGTGCAGTTACGAGAGAGTCACTTCCCACTGGGTATTTACAGAGGGAAAAGGAACATCAGCTACAGCTTTTGGGTAATACAGATGCATAACTGCTTACCAATATGCCTGCTTTTTGGTGTTTGAGATGTAGAGACTGTTTTTACAATGTAGGCCAGTTTTTGCTACCTCAGCTGATATGTTTTAAAGAATGCTAATTTGGACTGCTTTAGGGTGATTAACATTTCAGTTACTGCAGTGCTGTAGCTTTCCCTTTTTTTCCCACTGTTGTGTGATCCCTTTCAGGCAGAAGGACATGGAGCTCATTAGAAATACTGCTCCAAATCTACAGGATCAATCTTGGTAAGCCATCAGATATCTCTGGCCTAATTAGCATTTTACTTTAAAATTAATCGATTACATCAGCTTCATACTGGCTTTGCATTCTCTCCCTGCCCACTTAATGCTACCCTACTCTTTTCAATGCTGTTCTTACTCTCCTATGTGAAAAAAAGACCCTTCTTACCAATCTTATTTCCAGATCCAGTTGTTATTTCCTTTTTTTCTCTTATTTGTTATGGAGCTTTCTTCATCAGCCACTCTATTTCTTCTTTCCCTTTCTCCCTGAGAGCTTCTGCTCTCTACCAGCTTGGATTAAGCCTGTTTCGTTTCTCCATTTGCATTCTTTCAGCTAGATGACCTCCTTTGACATATGACGTGACATGACAGACTTTTCCCTTGCTCCTTCCATGCATGTGTCGAGCCTGTTTTGGTTCTTAAGCATTACTAGACCTGGTCTTAATGGTTGGCTAATGGCTTCAGTCCTGAGCTCAGTAGTGTCTCTCGTTTTACGTCCTGATTCATCTCGGTGTGACGACTTCTGCTCTCCAGTAGTTTTTCAGTCTCTGCATTTTTCTCTCTGTGCCTCTCTCCCCATTCATTGTAGTGAGTAACGATTCACATGAGCATGACTTAAACTGGAGCGTGACCCTCCTTGCTGTTAGTTCCATCTGAACATACTACTTCTAGGCAAGACAGAAGCATATTCTCTGAACAAGAGGTTTTCTCTTTCCCCTGCCCTACTGTTGCAGTGCTTTCTGAAGCCTCGTTCTCCTCTGGAAGTGTCTGGCAGTGAAGAACACCCCTGGACTAGGTCTGCCTGTGTTTGTAAAGCATCTGTGCCAGCAGGATACTGCTAAGTGAGGGAGAGCATAGTCTTTTGTCTGGGAACTGACTGTACATAGGACAGCTTTCTTGAAGCTGCTTCACTCACTCACTGCACAGTAACAGCGTTCAGATGTGTCAGCATGTGCTGACACATGCTTGTCTTTCACAACATCATTCATTTTCTTACCCTGCTAGTGGCTACTGCTGTAAGCTAAAATCTTCTTCAGGAATCTTGTGAATCTTAAAGGCACTGAGAGCTGCAAACAGACTCTCTGCATTTACTGTATAGTAAAACCAGATGCTTACCTCTGTTTCAGATTAAGAGGATCCTACTTATTTGCAAGCCCAAGAGAAATCATTATTTTGACCTCCAGAGTCACATCTCTTTACCGCTCTTATCCTAGCTATATCTGTTAGTAACTTTTTATCCTTCATTGTTCATGCCATGGGCCCATTTCATGTGTTTCAAGTTGCAGAGTTGTACCTGGAGGAGCAGGAAATGTCCTGACTGCAGAGCTATATACCTGACTTGCCACATTGGAGACAGGAGGAAGACCGTTTGTTCCTCGTTTCCACCACTTCAGCTTCCCTTTTATTCTTTCTTCTTTTAGGTTGTGCAGCATTAGAGATGTCTGACAGCTTTCCTGTGCTAAGCTGTCACGATGGAGGCTGTACATGGCACTGTTTTGGCAGAGGATAGCTTTTTGTGTCTATGGACTGGCGAAGGAATGGATTTTGAGGGAGGAGAGGCAAACCAGGCTTCCAGTAAGAGGAACTGTGCATTTCTGGGCACAGGCAGCAATGGAGAAGCTAATAACAATGAGCAGATTTTCGGCATTTTATGTGAATGGTGTATAAAACTTGAAAGCAGAAAGCGCTGCAGATTTTCAGAGACAGAAGGCAACTGTATAGATCTCTAGACTCATCTCTTTTGTATGGACTTTTGCTTTTGTATTTCAGTTTTAAGCCAGTTTTGTAGTGTGTGCTAGATATCTGCCCACTGTTTCTGGGGCTTTAACCGTCTATGCTTGAAAGCTAAAAGGGGTGAAACGTGGTGTTTGCTGTTCCCTCCCCCTCGTGTGTGGGTCTTTGTTTGTTTACTTCTGGACCAAATCGGACAGAAGTTCTGTGAAAATCAATGCAATGGAAGTGTTGTGTGAGCAAAGACTGCAATTACTCCCCTAATCCTGGTGACCTGGAGGATAACCGCATGGAATGCTGTGTAACACCAAGAGGTTCTCAGGACTCCTGCTGGGCAATGTGCTGTGCATTCTTTCCTTTTTAGCCAATGTGAGACGTTTTAGGTTCGGTCCCTGCAGAACGTGAAATGCACTACATGTTTTAGTTGGGATCTGCTCTTCACAGAGAGAGGAAAAAAAAAAAAAGTCCACAGAGACTTTAAGTGGATCAGACTCATAGAAGGAAAATAAGTGTTGTGAAGTAATAGTAGTTGCATAAATAGTTCTTGCATGACACGTGTCAGAAGAAAGAATAATACTCATGATTTTATTGCTAGGCAAAAGACAGTTTGCTTGTTCCTGGGAAGGTCAGTTCATATTAGTATATCAAGCTCTCTGTCAGAGTGAAGCTGCAAAAGCCATTACTGGTCCATCAGCAAGTAGGCAGGGCCTGGGGTGTACTTGAGTGGGCAGAACCACTCCTTAAGTTGCAGAACCATCTGACTGGGGAGGATGAGGCGGAAGAAGATGAAGGAAAAGAGCCTTTGCTGACATATGCTGGCAGAATTCCTGTGCTGTCAGATAAGTTACTGTTCTTCCTACCTGTTGCAGTTCTGACCTTCTGATGGCTTAAGTGCTAAATGTAATCATGATCTTGATTAAGTTATCATATTGAATTTGTAGAACAAATTAAAATAATCATAAAAAATAGTTGTTCAGAAATAGTTTATCATCAACTAATGAGCGTGTTGTGTTGAGTGCTCATATACTTGCTTATGTAAAGTGCTCAGCATGTTTTCCAGTCTTTATCTCACTTGGGTTGTGAGATATCATTAGCATCTAGGATGGTTTAAATACATTCATACCAAGGCCAATCTTTTTAGCATTACTATAGCCCATGAGTAGAATTAAATGTCTGCCCTCCCACCTACCTCGAAGGAAAGGAGCACTTACATCTGCATCCTATTTTACTTAATAATCTTTTCTTTGGTTATACTTGGCACTGGTGTAACATTTTTTGAAGTGCTAAGGAGTCAGCTGATTATGCCTTTAAAAGCAGTAATAGTTAACACTGGGGAAAAAAATTCTGTGCATTGTGAAGTACAAAAGCACGAGGAAAAAAGAATCTACCAACTGCATTCAAAAAAGCACGTGCACGAGTGTTCATGTGCTTTTTTTTTGAAAGCAGCTGATAGAAAGTGCATGCACTTGGATCAAACCAGGCAAGAATCAAAAGCATTGCGTATATTGTTTTCCTATGATTTTTTTTGTTTTTAAACTTATCTCCTAAAATGAAAATTCATGCTTTTCCTCATGGTAATATCACTGGCTGGATAAAGTTCAAGGCTAGGTGAAATTGGGATGTAAGCATTTAAACAGCAGTTTATAGATGGATATTGTTGGTTGTCATCGTTCTGTTCTCCTGATGGACTTAACACGCCATTCTTTAAATTTTCTTTTCTCCCATCCTTAAGAACTGTTTTCAAGACAGGAGTTTCCTGTGCTGTTTGTTTGCAGAGCTGCAAATGCCTCTGTCAAATTCTAGGGATGAATGCTGGCTGTTAAAATAATGGCCTGCAGCCAGAGCAGTAACAGAGGTCATTGTAAGAAGGTGGAGTTTGCACCTGATCTTGGCACAGTGAGGATGTTCAGCGTGGTGTTGATGTACTTTTCCTTCTAGCAATTTTCTTGCACAGGCAACTCTGAGTTCCCGCCTCTGGTTGTATCGTTTAGTCTGACTGCCAACTTCTGATTTTCCTGATTTAGATACATAGTGAAGTTCGCTGGATCTGCTTGCAGGAGTGAGCCAGCAAAATAGCTCAACTGTTCTTCGCAGGGTACCTGACTATTTGTCACATTTGCTGCATGTGCAGAAAAAACACTCTTGGCATGTGCATACATTGGTGTAGAGCATACTGTTTGAAAGAAGAATGTCTGTCTAGGTACCCTGATTTGTTCTGGCTGTCTGGTCCATAGCTGGCTGTCGTTCAAATGATGCTGTTTCTTATACTTTTTTTTTTTTTTTTTCTCTCCAGCCCTGAAATTGCCTGTAGAAGTCAAAGGGTTGTGCAAGGTTGGACTAGATTTTTATTATCTTTCAAGGAAAAAAAAGATACAGTTGGAGATGAGGATGGTTCACTGTGCTTATTACCTGGGGATAATAGAAGGCAAAACAAATCCTGCTTTCTAAAAAGCCATTTATTTCCTTGAAGTGTTTGAATGTTTCTATTTTCTTAGACTAGACATTGTTGTGCTACCTCTCTTACTTTCAGCAAGGCTTCTGTATTTTGATGTAGAGTTGCAAAGTTAAAAGTCAGTGCTATGTCTTGAGAGCAGGCACTGGGTTTGCATTAGCCAGGGTTATGTGTGCATCTGAAAGAGAGATCTAGCTCATAGCCTGATTTTGGGTGTCCTGTAAGAAGTTCTTTTTATAAGATTCTCTCTCTAATTCAGATTTTATCAGCACCAGCAAGAGTTTTAAGTGAAAATACATGTCTAAAAGCCAAATGTTTTAAATCCCCTCCTCCCTTTTATTTTATTTTATTTTATTTTATTTTTTTTATTTTTTTTCTTAAATGTCAGGACAAGCTTTTGTCCTGTAAGTCTGGGGGTGGGTTTACCTGTAAGGATGGCAAGATTTGAGTTATAACTGAGGAATGGGGGTATGGGGATTATAATCTAAAATTACATGTAAAAAAAGCTTGTTTGGAATTTCTTGATAAAATGTAAGAGACTTGGGGAGGGCTTTTGCATCCCATCAGATATGGTGCTTAATACTTCTGCTTTCATTGCACCTTGAAAAACATTTCACGTAGTTATTACTTTGTTTGAATATGGAAATATGTTGATTAATGCCTTTGTTCCACTGCCTGCTCTTTTCCTCAGCTTTTTCTATTCAACCCTCTAGGTGGCCTAGCACAATGTGGCTTCTTTTCTTTCAATGAGCTCTTTCTGCACTAATAGGGTCCAGGGTGATCTGGAGAACCATGTGCACAAAATTGGTCCACCACCACCCCCATCCCTTTATGGGCATGTCAGGTTAAATTCATATCAGCAGGAGGGTCACTGTCATGATTTTCAATAGCGTAAGATGAGGTGATGACTTCAGACAATGGTGCCACACTCTCCATTTGGAGACACTTGCCTCACCAGTTGCATTAGTTAATTAATATGCTAAAAATAGGGGCGAGTGATACAAATCGCTGCCTGTTGTACAACAAAGGCTGGGCATGTGTAGCTTTGATAGCCAAGTTTATGGTGCTTGTTATGGAGGGAAGTTAGTTTAGAGCTAGAGGCAATGTAAGACTTTCAGGATGCTGAGCTTTAGTCAGTCTGGGCCTCTGGCCATTTGCTTGCTGTCTCATTTGCATTATGAATGACATTAAGGGAACTAACAAGGTTACTGGGCATAGAAATGTTCTCATGTGACCCCACGTGGAAGCCGACCTACAGCAGTGCTAGTTGGCAGGGGCACTGTGGCTCTTTTATTTGGCTTCCTAGAAGACGGTTTTTGGGAGTGCGTAACTTGTAGGTATAAAAGAAAAACCAGTGTTCACATAATATGGAGATCCTAACGTAAGCTTCCGGGAGCCAAGGAAGTTCGAAGGGGATGCTGGACATGTGGCTTGAGCTGTACTGAGCATTGATTTGACATCTGGTGATAGGACAAGGAGCAGTGGTTGCAAGTGGAACATAGGAGGTTCCACATAAATATGAGGAAAAAATTTCTTCGGAGTAAGGGTAACAGAACACTGGAACACGCTGCCCAGAAAAGTTGTGGAGTCTCCTTCTCTGGAGACATTCAAAACCCACCTGGACGTATTCCTGTGTGACCTAATCTAGTTGTTCCTCCAGGGGGATTGGACTAGGTAATCTTTCAGGTCTCTTCCAGTCACTGACATTTTGTGATTCATTGGGTGCACAGCATAAGCATCCCCCATTACTCTTTTCTTCCCTGCCAGACACCTTGAGTAATGCTGTGTTGTGGAAGTACTCACAAGGATGTGGGCGTCTGGGCCTTCAGGAGGATCTGTTTCCCTGTTGCTGGCATGAATGTTGGGTTGCAGTGGAGGCATTTTATTCTTACCTGCTGCATTGTAGCTACTGTACAGACCATCCAAACTCTGTAAGAGTTATTTATTTATTTTTTTTTTACAATGTCTTACCTGAAAATTGCAAGAAAGAGGAATAAATTGTGGAAAATCTGTTGTCACTGGTATTTCCCTAGTTCTTGTGCATAATTAGAATGCAGTTTGGTAAGTCTGAAAATCAAATACTAGAGATGCATCCCACCACCTCCTTGGTAAAGCACGGCATTGTTCCTGCTAATGAACAAAAGGATTTGCCAAATAGAAGTCAGTACTCTCACAGGTACTTAAGCAGGTATTGTGTCGCAGCCTACTTTGTTATGCATGTTATCAGCCAGTAATGCCATCAGCTCCCATGACAACTTGCTGTGTCTGGATTTGAAATGTACTGAAGTCAAAGAGCCTGAACTCATTGTTCCCAGTCGAGGGCTTAACCTGGGGACACTAAACCCAAGCAATTGCATCATGTACAAGAGTGGAAGCAGATCTGTGAAGATATCTCCTTCCCTAATTCCTTTCTGTATAAATTAGTGGATTCACTCATGAGTCACTCTGTGGGAAAATGTTCTTGGGACCCATAAATGTTGCTTGAATATTTTTCAATTTTATAAACATTTTTTACTTGCTTCAGGGGCTGAATGAATTACAGAATGGCATGGCTTGGAAGGGACCTTAAAAATCATCTAGTTCCACTCCGCTTTTCTGTGGGCAGGACTGTCAGCTGCTAGGTCAGTTTTCCCAGGGCCCCATACAACCTGGCCTTGAACACCTCTGGTGGGGCACATCCACAGCTTCTCTGGCAAGTGTGTTCTAGTGCCTCACCACCCTCCCAGTGAATCTCCCCTGTTTTAGTTTAAAACCGTTTCCCCTTGTCCTCTCACTAGCCACCTGTGTAAAAAACAGTTGGATTTTCTCCTGTTACAAGTTTTCTCTTAGTATTGGAAGGCCATGATCATAGAATCATTAAGGTTGGAAAGACTACTTAAATCATCTAGTCCAATCATCAACACATCACCACCATTCCACTAAATTATGTAGTCAGTGTTGCATCTGCCCTTTTCTTGGAAAACTCCAAAAATGGTGACCGTAACATCTTCCTGGGCAGCCTGTTCCAATACCTCCCTACCCTTTCTGAGAATGTTGGTTTTTTTGTTGTTTTTTTTTTGTTTTTTTTTTCTGAACATCCAACCTCAAACTTCCCTGGTGTACCTTGAAACCATTACCTCTGGTCCTATCACTAGTTAGTTACTTGGCAGAATGAGACCAACCCTCACCTCGCTACAACCTCCTTTCAGATTGTTGAGACAGTGATCTGAGCTTCCTCCAAACTAAACAACCCCAGTTCCCTCAGCTGCTCCTTGTAATATTTGTGTTCCACACTCTAGACCAGCTTTGTTGCCCTTCTCTGAACATGCTCCAGGGCCTCAATGTCTTTCTTGTAGTGAGGGTCCTAAAACTGAACACAATATTCAAGGTACAGCCTTGCCAATTAGGAGTTCCCAGAGCCTTCTGGACAGTCATTCAAACATATAAATGTTTATGTACTTTACAAAAATACCTGTTTATTGGAGTCCTGGAATCATTCCTGATTTTCATGGTTGCACTTTGTAAACTGGAGGCCCATGCTTCTTCCACAGAGCCACTAGCTGCCCAGTCTGTGGGTGAGTTTGTGCAAGAATGAGCTGCTGCAACAGTCATCAGATTCAAGACCTAGGCCCTCTAGTAACTGAGAAGAGACAGGATGTCTTAAAAGCAAAGGCTGTTTTGAGCAAGCATCAAGCAAGATGTCTTGTCGGAAGAAGTAGTGAGTTCTGCTTAAGATCTCACTGTATTTATTACATATTCTTGGGGAATAGCTCAAAAAGAACTGTAATGGGCAGAAGCACTGAGGATAGCATGTTCTGGGAATGCTTGTGCTATATGTATCTGGCAGCACTATTTGTTTACACCATATATTTACAGACTGGGCGGTTCCTCTGCAGGATGAATTTATGTGAGGCAAATATGAAGCACTGATTTTGACGGTGGAATTGTAATTCTCTGAACGTTAGTGTTGTGATTTGTGATGTGCACTGAGATGAGCTCTCACTGGACTGTGTCCAGTACTGACAAGTAAGGGTCAAGGCTCTCCTGCTGACTTAACTGTTAATTAGGGCAATATAAAAATTGTCAAGTCCATCAGCTTTCCTATATATACACTACTACAGTATAATTATTGTTTTTGTAATAATAATAGTTCATACTAACTGGTTCTGTTAGTGGGAATTTGCTCATTCAGAAGTATCTGAGTGTGATGTCTTCTGAGCTCAGCTTTTGTGTGTGAAAGAGTCATTTCTGTGCAGCTGTGACCTGCAAGTAGTTGTCTTTTAGTGGCTTCATGAGTCAGGTAAGTCTGTGTGAGGATTTCAGCTCTCCTTTATTTCCCTAGTTCTGACATCCATTCTCCTGTCCCTGTGGGTAAATGTTATCCCCAGAATCACAGTTTTCTCTGTTCCTCGTGGATGCCAGGGACGTACTTTAGCCTGGAGAACAGTATGACATCTCCACAACTGTTCCACTGTCTGCCACCTAAGCATTTGGGAGACTGAGGGAGAAAAAGCTCTGTTTAAAACTTCTGCAGTCACACAGAAATCATCAGAATTACAGTATTTATGCTAGCTAAATAGAGAAGACTTGGCACGTGTCCTAAGCAGAAGTGCAGTTTTTAGTATCCATGTGACTGTATAAGTAGACTGAATGCATCAAGAGCTTTTCTTTTTTTTTTTTTTTTTTTTTTTTTTGTACTAGATATTGCTTGGATTTCTTTCTCCTCCTCCAATGGAAAATTGGTAGAGAAGGGTTTATTAATGAGCTATTGCTGATTAAAACAACTTGCAAACTAAGTTTTATGTTAGGAAGGTATTTGTAATCTAGAAAAAATGAGGATCATGTTAGGTGAAAGAAGTACAGGTAAGCCAGTGCCTACAGCAGGATAAAACACAAGGTTGCCTTATAAAGGTCACAAGAGCATTCAATTTAATTTTCATTTATCTCCTAATTTCCACAGATAGGTGAGAAGTTTTGAAATGCCTTTCAACTTTTGAAATGCCTTTCAACTTGTCGTTACTATTATTTTTTAAGAAACAAATGTGGCATTTGTTTTTTCTTTGATGGCATAGCTGTAAGTATTCTCATTTGCTAATTGCAAAGGTACTGAACATAGAGTAGTAAAGATGAATTGTTAATTAAAATCTCTTTCCCAAACAGCTCTTTAAATGCTTGAGTTAATCAAGTCTTTAAATTTGATGTGATTTAAAATCTTAGTTCATTGTTTTTGAAACCTTATTCCAGTTAGTTTTCTATTTATACATGGAGCTCTAATGTGACTAAGATCCAAATTTCTGATGTTGATTACAGAAAGCCTTTCTCTTCTTTCCTTTTTTTTTTTTTTTAACTAAGACTGTTGAAAATTTTCCAGATTTTCTTTATGCATCAATGAGAATAAAAGACTAAACTGCATTTCCATCTTAATTTGCTGATCTGTTTCATCTCCTTTGACTACTTGTGATGAGTAGTGTGACTAATGAGCTCAGTCAGACCAAGGAGTTTTTCTACGTTTTTACTCTTGGGTGTGGCTTTTATGTTGATGCCTCTGTTCTACAGCTTTTCTGGTCTGGGCTTGGACTAATTCCCAGATCTGTTCTTACAGATTTTAACTTTGCCATGTACCCACCATCAATGATAGCAACTGGAAGTGTGGGAGCAGCCATCTGTGGCCTTCAGCTTGATGATGGGGACAGATCGCTCTCTGGTGACAGCCTAACAGACTTTCTGGCCAAGATTACAAGCACAGATGTGGTGAGTGTCATGGATTCCTGTTCTTGTTTCACTTCTGAGAACCCTGTGGAAAAACTGAGCTGTCCATCAAACTGGGCCTGATCCTGAGAGCCCAGTGGAGTGAAGGGGAGGGGGGAGTTCTACTGCAAGTGGACACCTTGTTGGAAGACCTCTGGATGTCCAGAGCTCCTTGACCTCATGGGAATCACTCCTCATCATCATGTTCTGTTCAGCAGCTTTGTGAGTAGAGCCTGCTTTGCCTCATCTTGTACTTGGGCCTACTCCATCCACTGTGACTGATGCTGAGGCTTGTTATAGGGGAGCAGTCACCTTTAGTGCCCTAGGGCTCTGATGTAGAATAGCAGACAGCATCTCCCTATAGCTTAAGGTAAACTAGTATGTGCACAGGAACAGCAGGCCTGCGCTCCCAGTCTTGAAACTGCTGTTCTGACCCTCACTGGGATACCTTCCAAAAATCTTTGGCATAAAGGAGGAGAATACTGAGCTAATCCTCCAGCGCCAGCATAGCAGGAGATGGGTATGACCCAAGCTGTCTGGATTTCTGTCTCTAACCTCATTGTGAGCACTCATTTTAAGAAATTAATGCTTCAGATTGTCAGGAAGTCCTTTTGTCAATAGGGAGGTGAATCTGATATTGATTCAGTAGTGCCTGAAAAGTGATTTAGTGAGTACATACAAGAAATGCAAACCAGGCAGGTCTGCATGATAGACTGAGCTGGGAGGACTAAAAGGGAATGCTCAGATCACCTTTACTAGGAGTGGTAACTCTCCAGTTACATTGCTACGTTGGTAGTGGGCCATGGGAGGTAGAGTCTGTGCTACTGCAAATCCATGTTCCTTGGTCTGTGGAAAACATGAGTTTAATCTGTTGTTTGAGTTTAATCCTAATGGAAGGCAGGCCACAAATAAAATACTTACCATAAAACTATCAGTTACCAATGTGTCCTTAACCCTTAATCCTTAACCTGTGTTCAACATAAATCCTCTTACAGCTTGTGGAGTAGATATTCTGTACAATTATTAGATTTGTAATAACGTTGTGAAGAGCAAATTGGTGTTTTTTTTTTGTTGTTGTGTTGTTTTTTGGTTTTTGTTTTTTTTTTTAAACAAATGTTCTAAATTTGGGCTAAAATATTCCAGTTTAACTGAAAGGGAAGAATTTCAGTTTTTTTCTTTTTTTAGGTGAGCTGAGTCTAATTTTAAAGTGCATTTCTAGGTCTTCCCGTTTCTTTTGGTTGGAAGTGAGTTTTGCAAAGGAAAAGAAACATTACCAATTCTGAATGCTTGTAATGTAGATCATGTAGCTTTTGAAATTAAATATACACTCATTTCAAGTGAAAATTTCACATAGGTGATTTACCTTTTTGTGCCATTTTTATAGGCATGGAGGAACAGTGGTGGTACATTGCAGTAAACAGCAGAAGCACGCAAGAAGAATCCTATATAACAGTTCAGACTTCATGGCCCTATGCAAGTAATGCATAGCACTCATTTGTATGGTTGTTCCATTTAGAGCAAGAAAATCTATAAAGTTCACTTAATATATTTAGAAAACAAGAATTACCAGTTATTAAAATTGGCAGTTATTGGCTGACTGAAATTTTCTACTTGGGTGTTTGATTGGATGTAATGTGGTAAGTTTTGGATGCAGCATCCAGCAAATGTCAGGAAGGACTCTAGACTCTAGATATCGAGTTAACAGATGTGAGTGGACATGAGAAAAGTGGATAAAGGAAGACTAAGATTTATAAAAGACTTGAGACTTGTTAATATGAGTGCTGCTTTTGGTAATAGTCGTGGATATCCTAATAATAAGGAAAACTGTTGCTGCTATCTATTGAGAGCTTGTGGAACTACCAGTAGTCTGAATGTTATGGAATTTTGGAAAGATTGGAACTATCCTGATTTTGCTTGTTACATGGAAAAGCAAGGTGAAATGGACTCCTTGACTGCTTCTTGTTTTCATGCTCATTTTTACTGATGTATGCCCCACAACCATTTATGTCCTTGTATTTCAAACCCCATCCTGGGACTCATCTAATTTAAATATGAGGGAAAGACCATCTGTTCTTGTTTTGAAGTTGGTGATGGGGAGTTGCGTGGCTTCTAAGAATAGCCAGTGTTGTCTGAGTCAGAGAACTTTAAAGATGCAATTTTTCCATCACTAGACCATGTTCCATACCCGTGCGCTCCAGATAAATGTCTGAAACTATTTTCACTTGTCAGAGGGGAGATGCTAGGGTAGTCCTGCCGTGTTTCTCTCTGTTGTATTTAGTAGGTTTTGATCAACCATTGAGTTCTGTCTTTCTGGAGATGTCAGGGAGTTGTTTAGGATAGTCTTCAGTTTCCCCATGCAGCCACATGGATCTTTTTCCTAGCTCATCTTCATTGTGGACAAGTCTGGCTTTCAGAGACAACATGCTGCTGATCATACTCAAGTTTTAGGTGAGGGTAAGCGGGCTCAACGCAAGGGGCGCACGGGCTACATAACTGGAATCTTGCAAAACACTTGCATTTACCTGGATTCCTCCACAGTACGGGGAAGGGCATTTCCTATCCTTACCTTGTCAGCATCTGATCATTGCTTTCTGATGTAGTCTTTGCTGTGGCAATCTGCTCCTTACTCACATTTAGACTAGGCTATTGCAGTTCATGCTGCATGGGACTCTTTTTGGATAACATTTATATACTCAAGCAAGGCTGGACACAGCTGTTTGCTTACATAGTTGCTTGTTTTGGTGGCGATTAAAGCCACAGGCGATAAAATCACAGGTTTACCTACTGTACCTCCTTTTGTGTTTTTTTTCTGGTTACTGTCAGGTGCCTTGCTGTTCCACCTTCGAGACTGTACTTGAATGAGGATCCCAGCTGTTGCAGAACCTGGCTCTTCCCATGCTCTGTTTGCATACCAGGGTTGTTTTTGAAGGCTTTTAGGGACAAATGAGAAGTCACAATAGGGTGCCTTTCTCTTTGGATTTTCTTTCTTCTACATCTAACAGAACCCTTGTTAATTGACTTTAAGAGAATGCTGCAGGCGTATCATGCAAGATCATGTCAGAGAAGGAATATATGGCTTTTATTTTTTTGCTCTTTTAGGAGCGTTTTTGGATTCTGTTCATTTGATGTTTATAGGTATGTATTTAAGCTCATGTTCTTTCTTATAGGAGATACTGGAAGCTTTCTCAGGCATCCCAGTGCTTCTTAATGTAAGGCCTTTTTGCAGTACCGTGCAGGTTGTACAACTTTTTCTCATTCTGAATGTTTTAACCTGATCGATTCAGTTTGAAAGAAAATACCTGTCAGAACAGCCTAGTAGCTCCTAAATGGTTAGAAAAAAAAGATACAATTTTTCTTGTTGAAAAACTTATCGTGCCTTTTCTTTGAAATTTTACTGATGTTTTGGTCAAAAATGTGCTTTTTGCTCTGTCCCAGTGAAAATCTTCCCAAATTTGGCTGAGCTTATATGTCTTTGAAGGGAAAAAAAAAAAAAAAATCTTCCCAAATATCAAAGAATTCTTAGGATGTTACTAGTCACATCCTCTCCAAGAATCTGTTGGCACTGAGAAAAGCTTTCTTCTCTTTGCATCTGATCATAGCCCACAGCAGCACAGACTACTAAAAAGCTTCTTACTTAAGTGAGAGCACCCCTGGTACAAAGGGGATTTCTAGATAATTTTGCTGCTCAAACATTTAAACGTTTAAAGAACTTAGATATGCTGTAATTTTTCAAGATATTCACATGTGGCCAAGTTTGGAAGATGCTCATTTTTGGAGAGCTGGCTGTAATTCGATCTGTCTCCTGCAAGATTCAAAGTCTCAGATCAGCTGAAAGGAGCCATAATTGTTAACTTGTGCAGAATAGTATATTTTTCATTAGCCAGATATTTAGAAATGGCAGAAACAACTTGGTAGATGTGTTCCCCATGACTTCTGTTTTGGAATTAGGAGCCAGGACTGAAAAATTATCTCACCTGTTAAAGCTTGGGAGACAGGGAAAAGCAGCTGAAAACAGGGTCTCAGAGTTATCAGGCACTCTAAATGATAGGTGGTAACATCAGCCTTGTCTGTAAAATATATCGTTGAGAAAAATGTACTGGTTGGATTGTGTAAAAGTTAGCTCAAGGCTTTGTTAATGAAAAGTAAAGACTATTGTAATATACTTTATGCTGGGTCTTAATTAAAATGGAGTGAAAAGCTTCAGTTCTCCGATTTCCTAATTTCTGTTGCTTGGAAGTTGTTCTTGCATTGACACAATAAATTCATCATTGCTGTGTGAATGATGTTGTTTTCTAAAGGTAGGTTGGGGAATACCAAGAATTTAGAGCTTGGAGGCTGCAAGAGCATCACAGCGTGAAAAAAGCAAGGTAACTTACAAAGTTCACAGTTCTGCAGAGGGAAAAGATCTTGCCCCTTCCTGCCTCTTGATAGCCTGCAGAAACCTGTGGGCAGCTGGAAGAGAGTCCTTCCTGACCTGTACAGCTTGCAGTAGAGAGCTGCAGGGTTCTGCTGCATGTGGGAAGTGCTGGGGAGTTTTGACATTTTGCAGTTGGCCTCAACTTGTAAATAAAATAAGTTTTCCTGATATGCTACCCAGGCACTATGAGGAATGTAAAGACACCTTCTGAGCTGGCCACACTGCATGCTACTGGTATTTGAAACTGTTTTTGAGATACTCAGGAGCAAAGAAGTGTTTTAAAACCCCATCGCTGCATGAAGGAGGTGGAGAGATTGCTTAGCTTGGCAACTGGAACATTTTAATGAGCTTTCAAAAAAAATGACACTGTCTGAGTTAAAGCATGAAAAAATTGAGCTTTAAATTTTCAAGCATATGAAAAAGGAGAATGATAATGACATCCTGTTGTAACTAAACTGCAGAGACTTTCTGAACTTCTACTATTTCTTGAAGATAGTTGAGGGTTCTGTTTTCTAGGAAACAAAACAGTAGCATGAACTGAAAAGCTGAGATCGGTGGAGTTATTTTAGGCAGACACTGGTGTGGC